TTAAAGAAAACTTAGCAAAAAATCAAAATAAGCAAAGTCATTCCAAAACACATTTAAGCATAAGACTAAAAAGAGGACCAAAAAAAATCAGATGAAAGATGGAAAAGTTGTAAATATAATTTAAAGTTTTCTATTGATGTATTTTCACTTTTTTATTTCACATGTCTGAATGCATCCCTCCCCATCACTTTCCAGTGAGCTATTTCTTATAACAAAGAATTTTTAAAAAGGTAGGGGAAGCAGCTCAGAAACACCAACCAACTCAGAGTCCCAAAGTATATGCAATTCCACACCTATGATCCTATATCTCTGCATATTTTCTTAACTCTTCCCCAGAGCCAAGTACCTTGGTCACTATATTTATACAGATTTCAGGTTTTTGAGCATGAGTGTCTTTCAATGTACATTATTGTAGTAACTGTAGATGTGTTTTCCTGGTTCTACTTGTTTTACTCTGCATCAGTTCATATCTTCTCTCATGCTTCACTAAGTTTTTCATATTCATCATTTCTAAGTGTGCAGTAACATCCCATTACATTGGTATACCACAATATGTTTAGTCATTTCCCAATTAACAAACTTTGTCTCCAATTCTTTGCTACCGCAAACATGCTGCTATGAATACGTGAACATATTTGACCTACTTGCAGTCTCTATGCCTAGCAGCAAAACATCTAAATTAATGACACATCATAGTTATTTTTTAAGCAAAATTCCAAAGATCTTTCCAGAATGATTGGATCAATTCACAACACTACTTATAGTATATTAGTGTATGTCTTTCCACAGCCCCTTTAAAATTGACTAGTTCCATCTTTTGTCATCTTTACTAGTTTTTCTGCTCGAGGAATAAAACAAGAGTTATTTTAATTTGCATTTTTTCTTATTATTAGTGATCTGGAGCAATCTTTAATATAATCATTAAAAACTTAGTCCTCTTTTGAGAACTGTTTATTCCATCTTTTGATCACTTATCCATTTAGAGTTGTTTTTTTAAATTTTATTTATATTAATCTCTTATTAGATATTAGACTCTTATCATAGATATTTGTTACAAATTTTCCTGAAATGATGCTGTCCCTTCTTTTTCTAGCCATACTGATTTTGTTCATGCAAAAGTTTTTTAATTTTGTGTAATCAAAGTTATCTACTTTGTCTTTATGATTGTCATTATCCTTTGCAATGATTTTTATAGGAAAGTCTTTTTACCATCAAAAACAGTGAAGCTATCATGTCTGTTCTTCAATAGCACAGTCTCAAAAGAGCTTACAAGGGAAGTAGAAATGATAATGAAGGAAATCAGATGGGAAAAGTAGCAGGCAAAAAGAGACTGAGAAGAAGTGGTCAGACCAAAGATAAACAGATGAGGTCAGTGCTGGAGGTGATATTTTGAGAGATTTGTGAGATTGAGTCTGAAGGTATATAAAGGAGGAGAAGATTATAAAGGTGGGGGGGAAAAAATCTTTTTCTTTATTAATGCCACAAAAGGGTGACTGATATAACATCAATAACTACCAAGCAACACCGACATAAATTTTTATGACAATAAAAGACATCCTTAATGAAGGTATTAGAAAGGAACAGGCAGGCTTCCATAGACAATATTCCACTGTAGATGACCCCTTTGCCCTAATATAACTGACTGAAAGATGTAAAGAATGCAAGATCTCTCTATACTTATCATTTAAATATAAAAGCATTTGATTTGATAAAGCAAAACAATGTTATAAATTCTCTCTTTTGACAATGTATTTCCCCTACATATACAAAAATGATAAGCCTACTTGAATGATGCAACAACAGAGATGACTTTGTCAAATGCTTCTTCGAGCATCAACTTCAAGCATGACATTAACTGGCAGGTGTAAACTCACTGATGGTATTTTCCACTGCCATGAAAGTCCAGCAGAGAGTCCAAGTTAAAGAGGACTTCCCTATAAATCTTAAGGTCCTCTAGAGTCTTTGGTTTGTGGATAACATTGGTAATTGCATCAAGCCCAGGAACATTACAGAATTTTCTAAGTGGATTCATAATCATTCAAAAGAGAGAGAGAGAAAAAAGTTTGCTCTTTTGAATGAGCCTAGCTCAAAGGAATCTAACTATCCATAGTGGAAAAACCAGAAAGAATATCTATTGTTGAGACTATTATATGTGGTATACAGACAACACAAAGAGCTCATTCATCAGTATATAGCTGAAATAGATATACAAGGGACAATGAGGTAGGCTTATATTGAACAGTTGGAAAGAGTAAAGAATTGCTTTGGTGATATTGTAAATTTATTTTACTGGCTCAAATCTTCTTCCCCAAAACAAGGCTTTTTATTTTTTTAAACAACTAAATTCTGAGAAAAATCTGTCTATATGAATTACATCTACTTTTCCATCTCGCACTCAGGTTTCAATTCCTTAAAATCTTATGCCTGATACCTCAACTTGACTGAAACTGTGTTCTCTCAAATTAAAAACATAGCCTAATTGTCCATTGCTTTCACCTCAGTTATTATTCCTCTTCACCTTTCACCAGCTTCTAACACTGTCATCAACCAGTTCTGATACTTTGTTTTTTGGAACACTGCTCCCTCCTGGTTTCCTTCTGACCTTTGCTGCTAAGAGTCTGAAAGTCTACATGTCTTCACATCAAGGTAGATCCAAATTGGCACTAGAGAATTAGTCCATTACAAACCTACTTTCAAAAATAATTGTGTTCACATTCTCATATTCAGGGTTATTTTAAGGACTCATTGTAAAGGAGGTTTTTTTTTAAAGATTTATGTTTGTTCTGAGCTAAGAATTTCCTTAATGAATAATATACCTTGATAAATAAATAATAAAGTGTCCCTTAACAAATAAATAAGTGATGAATAATAGTGTCCATTAACCATCATGTTCTCATGCCCAAAATAGTGTGTTTATTTGTTGGCATTCAGCTCATCTGGTCATTGACAGAATTCTGAAATCTAGTTTACTCTGGCTGATACCACCCATATGCAAGTCACTTTACCCTCCCAGCGTCTCAAACCCTTCATCTATAAAATGAGGGGATTGGACTAGATGTCTCTGGGGTCCCTTCTAGCTCTGAAGGTATGAGCTTATGATCCTTAACAGATGTGGAGTACTGCAAATTTGTTAACAGAAAGTCCAAGCGAATGTAGGCTGTCCTTCAGGGAGAGGCTTTCTAGCCATTGTACCACATAAGATGGTTATAGAGGGAGCAGCTGGCCCTGACATAGCTAAAAAGCCTCTCCCTGAGAGGAAGAGCTACAGGGAGTCTGCTGCAGAGCCAAAAGCTCCCTCAACAAGTTGAGCAGCCAACCAGACAATCAGACAATAATAGTCTATTCTTTTCAGCTGCCTATGACTGCTGCCATTTCCATTCTGGCACCTGCAAATGGAAAATATTTGCAAAAATTGTCCTACAAACTGTTTTCTCCATTAAGGAGAGAAGAAATCGGATACTTGGACCCTGACATCAGGTCCTTATAGAGGAAGTAAGAATGACACAAAAGAGAACAAAGGCAGGAAAAGTAGCCAAATTGGACCATATCTAGATAGAGGAGATGTGGCTGGTGGTAATACAATTTTGAGGGTTTGAGGGACAAATATACAAAGTTTCTGAAGTCAGGAGAAGGAAAAAATTCTTGGAACTATGAAATCACATTGACCAACTCTCCCTGCCCTTCTTTCCATCTTTAGGCTATATGCTATAAGACAGTACATTAGTTTGAAGTCTTTGGTCTATTCCAAAGAAATGGTGAAAAACCTTTTCTTTAACTTGTCAATTCTTCCAAAACAATTTCCTGAACTAAATTCTTTTTAACCCTTGCCAAAGACCTTTGAGGAAAATGGTTAAAAGTTCACTAAAGGAGAGCTGACATCCTAGATGATAGAACTAGGGTGGTGACTTAACAAGAGGGCTAGAGGGAGGAAGTTGGTCAATCCATTTAAGAGAAGTATCCTCTTCCCCCCAACCCACCCCAACATACACTTTGACTGGATTAGGGGAATGATCAGACTAAGAGAACAAAGTCTTTTATTCAGGTAATGGAAGCATCTCTTGAGCTCTCTTTTGATCAAGTGGAAAAAGCAGAATCCTTGGCAGAGTGGTTGAAGAGGGACTCAATGATTTAGGGAAGTGATTCTTTAGATGTAATCATCTTTTAAATCACTATTATTCTGAGACTGTTACCTAAACAATGAATCCTCGTTCGATCTTGACTGTGGAATTTTATCTATTGTTTAAGAATATGATAAATTGTAATTCTAAAATGGCTTGTGTTAGATTTTCAAAGCCAAGGAGACATTCTGCCCATTTTTGGACGACCTTCTGTCTTTAAGCAAAAGATGCTTAGAATGATTTTGAGTTAAATTAATTTTTTTAAATGTTTCTAGCAGATGTATGCCTAAAACAATGAAGATTTTATTCTCTACAGACTATATAGACATTGAAAATAGATGACCAAGAGAATTTCAGTCACTATTGAATCAATAACTATTGACCTATGCTCTAACTCTCTCATCTTTACAAAATCTTTAGCAAAGTCATCCATACACATGTAAAAGATATCCTCAATGAAGGTATCGTTAGGAGAAAACAATCAGACTTCCAAAAGCAATGTTCAACAGTGGACCTTAGCTTTACTATCTCACGATTATCTGAAGAATGAAAAGAATATAAGATACTATTGCGAATAGTGTTTGTTGATTGTGATAAACTCTAATGAACTGAATTATGAAAAAATTTGGAATTTATTCTACTAGAGGATAAATATAGCTGATTGATTGTCTCCTGAAGGATACTAATGATCACTTTGACCACACTTCCCAAATGTCCTAACCTGCTGGACCAACCTTTCCTTTCTGCTCAGTCATTATGAGTCCATTAGCTGCCATTCTTTGAGTGCCTCTAGTAGGAAGAATCTCCCTCAAGTTCCTAGTTGCATCAATAAGAAGGAAAAGTGAAGCATGGGGGAAGATGAGGGAATGATTCTAAACTCACAATCAGATTCAAGTTTTCCTGGGAGTACTGGAGGAGCCTCAAAGCAGTCTTCAGGGCCCGGAGCCGAGCATGAGTCTCATTGGCCATGAGCCAGGGCTCAAAGTGCTACAGGTGAAGCAAGAAAAAACATTTGGCTAAGTGAGAGCCATAACAGTCTTGAGGGCTTATTTTTCTCATTCCCCAGTCCTTTACCCTACTCCATATATACCCACTAAAAATTGTTGACTGAATGTCTAATCATAGAGAGTCCTGTGGGCAACCTGATTAGATAGATACCACGGGGATATGATACAAGTGGCACCTCCAAGCCTCGCCATTCCCTGAATATATTCCCCCTTCTTTTCAACCTGTCATAATATCACCATTCCCTTCTCCCCATTATTATAGTCATTCTCCTTTGTCATATCTAATGAACAAGCCTATATTCAGTACCCACTGTGCATGTAGCTATGAGCTAGGCATTTGGAGGGATATAAAAATACTATTACCAAAATGCCTGGTACCTAGTAAGTGCTTAATAAATGCTAATTGACTATTATTAATAATAATGGATTATTACATGCAGTACATTGTAGTTTATAAAGTACTTTATCTCCAACTTATGACCTACTATTATCCCTATTTTACAAATGAGAAAACTGAAGTTTAGAAAGACTATGTGACAGAGTAGAGTAGTAAAAGCACTGTATTTCTGGAGTCCAATCTTGTTTCTGTCACTCCCTCTGTGTGTGGCTTTTACCACAGGGGTGTTTGCTTTTTTCTCACTTAAGAAACAAGGAAGCAAATTTCTCAGGGCCCTCCTAATGCTAATATACCATGATTCTATTAATTGCCCAGCATTACATAGCTGGGAAGGGGCACAGCCTGGACTTCAAGGAAGACCCTCTAACTCTTAAGTCCAATGTTCTTTTCACATCCTCTCCCTATTCCTCACATCACTAGTTTGAAGAGTCGTTAGGAATACAGACTAGCAGGGGTGGGGAACCTGCAGCCTCGAGTTTGCCTGTGGCCCTCTAGGTCCTCAAGTGCAGCCCTTTGACTGAATTCAGGACCTAGGGGGCCACATGCAAACTCGAGGCTGCAGGTTCCCCACCTCTGGTAGGAGGTGGAGGGAGGCCTCAGGCTTTGTAACTTGAAGGGGACATACACAAGAAGCAAGAAAATGCTCTATTGAGCTCTTTGGGAAGAGAAGTAGGATAGAATCACCTTCGTTTTCAGGGAGCGTATGGTCTAGCTGAAGAGAAGAAACTAAATGAATACATGTAAAGGGGAAGTATTAGGGATCTGCAAGTATTTGCTGTATCTTGGAAGCTAACACAGTGCCCGGCACATACCAGATGACTAAGAAATACTCCTTGATTGATTCAGTAGGAATTGGACTAGATAATAATAAGGGCTAGTCACATGGAAGAGTGATACATATTCACGTGGCACCAGAAGGAAAATTTAAATTTCATGGCAGAACACCCCGAATAATAATTAGAGCTGGACAAAAGTGGAATGGGCTTCATTCATGAGTTGTATCTCACTAGAGGTCTTTAAATAAAGGTGTATTGTGGAGGAGGCTCATATTTCAGGTCTGGGTGGACTAGAAGGCTTCTGCAGTCCTTTCCAACTCTGAGCTGATGGGAGGCTATGATGCCACTAAATGATCTAGGGTAAAGACTTCACATTTGAAGTCATATATTTGGCTATCTAAGTCATCTGGTCTTCAATGGGGCCATCAAGCCATGACAGTGAGACTAGAACTCTGACCTTGTCATCATTGTCAAGGAGGAGCATGGAAAGGGGGTGGAGAAGGAGGGTATGTTCACAAGCAATGGAGATCCTGAATTACCCATCCTCATCTTCATAGTACTAAAAAGCCAAAGTAAAACTAACAAACTCGATCCATTACCCAAGGATTCTGGATAATGCATTGCCAGGTTTCTGGCAATTTAGAAATATCTGGATGCAAAGCTGAATTTGGCGTTCCTCATCCCTAAGGAGATAAAGCTTGAACATAACTTTCAAATTAACACAATGAGGTCTTGGTGAAGGGGAGGGGAACATGGAAAGGGGCATCATTGCTGATGCTACACCATCACTACCATCCCTCACCTGCAGGAGAAATTGGAGCTCTTCCATTGTCTGATGCTCAGAGAGGAAACACTGGAGAAGCTGATCAAGGTTCTCCAGCATCTTGTCATACAGGTACTACATGTAGAAGAAAACAAGTCATTTCTGGCATCTCAAAGTCTGGCCTAACAGGGAGACAGTGTGAGATGGGAGAACAAGGGCTGGGGGTGGAGATGAAAGGCACATTCAAGTTCCAATTCTGCAACTTCCTACCTGTGTGACCTTAAAGAAACTGCTTAACTTCTCTGGGTCTTAGTTTCATCATTTGTAAAAAGGGGGTTAGACTAGAGAATTCCTTCCAGCTCTGAATCTCTTATCCTATGATCCTATGAACCATTTCAGCTCTGGAGAAGCCTCAAGAATTCTTCAACTGTAGTCCCCCCCCCAAACCCTGTCTTAGTCTGTCCCTGGGGGCTCCCAACAGAATGTTTATATTTAATCATAGATTCTTGCAATGTTCTTTCTGCCCTCAAATATCACATAAACAGTTGCTAGCTCCCTTATGCACTCATCTTGTATTATATTTTATCTGTTATTTATAAATGTCTCATAGTCTCCAAGACTCTCACTCCATATTTATATCTCTTCCAGTATCTAATATAGTGCTATAATATAGGAGGAATTAATGAATGTCAAATGAATAAATGAGTGACTTATAAAAATCATTCATTAATTTTGAAATACAGCATATTTTATTATAAATGTCTATCTCGCAATCAGGAGAAAAAAAATTCTAATTCCTTCTTTAATACTTACTGTGTGACTGTAGAAAAGTCAGTTAATTTCTCCAAGCCTCAATTTTCTCATTCATAAAATGGGGGTGATCATACATACCCTTCTTGCCTTGAAAGGTGTTTGTGAGGAAAGTGCTTTGTAAACCCTATGAGGTTACAGAAATGCCCAGCTTCCCCTGCAGATGCTTCTTAAAGATCTCCAGGCAATTGGATCCAGCCTGGCAGGTTGGCCCTCTCAGTGCCTAATAGCCTTTCTGGCTGAGAAATTCCTTTTAATAATCATAATTCATTGCATCTGCACAGCACTTCATTATTTCCAAAGTGTCTGGTCCAACTTCTCACAGGTAGAAAGTAGCACATTTGAGCCTAAACTTACATTTACTGACCTTCAGTCCTTGCAACACACTCTCTCTCCCCTTGCTCACCCAATTAGGAACATTGGAATATAGGATTTAAATTCAGAAGGGCTTTATAAGTCATCTTGTTAAATCCCTTCATTTTATATATGATGAAAATTAACTCTTAAGGGAAGCAAGGTGGCTCCCCCAGGTCACACAGGTAAATAGGTGGCAGGACACAGATTCCAACCAGATTCTGACTTCAAACTCCAGTACATCACAGAGGCCTCCAGATACATACTTAGCCAGGGTGTGCCCACTCTACCCCATGCCCTATTGAACTCCAGTTTTGCGGTCATCTCCCACTGGGCAAAACTTGCCAGGTGACCTCAGCAGGGAGCAGGGTTGTATCACCTCAATTTCAGATGGAGTCTCCTGATGAGGAAGACTGTTTGCTAACATCCCTGTGGCTGGAAGCATGAACAGGCTTTCAAAGCAGGTACTGAGCACATTAGTTTTGACCTTTGCATCGAGACATTGTTGTAGAGAGCTGAGGCAAGGGACACACAAAGAAAATATATTCAACTATAGGATAAAGATATCAAAAAGATATCAAAAGATGACCTGCCTCACTGAAGATCTAGGAGACATAGATAGGTATAGGGTTAATGATAAGGCTAGGGATAGGGAATAGGGATGAGGATAGGGATGATGATAAAGATAGGGACTAGTCATGTGATTTCACTGGTATTTTGAACTCCCAGCTGAGAAAATTGCCTCTACCAATGCGTGTGACTCATGGAATGGAGAGTTAAAATAGAAAATAACTTAAAATATAAAAATGGGTCATTTTTTAGAATAAATGAGGATGGTGCTTAATATCATTATTAAAGGATGTGGGCTATAAGCAGAGGCAATAGGGAGCAACAGAGAGTTAATTAAGTAGGAGAATGACATTGTCAAACCTGTGCTTAAGGACCAATAGTAGGTGCTTAATAAATGCTTATTTACTGATTGACCATCTAGGTGAGGGCATACATCTAGTCACTTTCGTGACCCATAGCAGATATTTGTGAGATGGCTGGTAGGATAGGGATAGATTAGAACCAAATCTGACACCAAAGTCAAAGCTCAGTCTAGGGTCAGGGTTTAGGACTTCTGTCATTCAAGATGCTCATTTAGCTTCTGTTCAGTCTGTGACCACGGTTAGGACCAAGCATATGGCTGAGGTTGTGGGTCTACCTAAAGTCAATCAGTCAATCAGTGAACATTTATGAGTGCCTACTCTGTGCCAGGCATCATAGCAGGGATAGAAAGACAAATAGGGACTGAATTGCCCCTGCTATTAAGGAGATTGTATTCTATTAGAAGAAACAACATACACATACATAAGTGAGACAAAAATATAAGCAAGATAAACATCAGGATTAAAATCAGGATGGGTGGCTAAGTTGGGGCCTGAGTTAGGATTTGGTCTGCAGTCAGGATTCAAGATAAATCTCTCGCTGGGGTTGTAGCTCAGTAAGTGGCAAGGATGGAGGAGTCATTCCGTGGCTAGAGCACAGAATAAAGCTACCTAGCCCAACAAGAACAGAGCCCAAGGCTCAATAGTTCCATCTCCCCATCCAGGGCCACAGACCCTTCTTCTTCCTTTATCTGCCTGTGCTTAGAAGGGTAGGGGCCTCGCTGAGGTTTCTGGCCTTGAATTTCTATATAAAGGGCTAATGTGTGCTAACTTAAGGCGAATAAATACCTCAGTGCGCTGATAACTTGTAGGCTCTTCTGATGAAAATATGTGTCAAAAAATTCTCGAGGTTCCTTCTGAATACTGATCTGAGAATGACAAAGCCAGAGAAGTGAGAAGAGCAGAGTCCTGCCAACCACCTTGGCCTGTTTTCAAACTGTCTGATTTCTCCTTAGCGGTCACCCAGCCAGGGCAGGCCATGGGGACTTCTTACCTCCGACTCAGGAAGCAAAATCTGCCAAGGCGTTTCTAACCTTGAGAAGAGGAAAGATGGACTCTATGGCATTTTACAATGCAGGATCTGTTACCAAGCCCACTTCCAGGTCCTGAGGCATCATCACACCTGCTTTTCATTCCATCCAAATCCACCCCTCCCTCAATGTCTGTATTGGGAAGGAGAGGAGTTTTCTGTATGATGGGATGGGCCAACCAAAAAGTAAAAATGCCTTGGCTAGCCACTAGCAAAGGTCATCAGTGTTAGAATCTGTCATTTCATCAGTATAGAAACATTTCCATTAATAAGGATCACAGATACCCCATGACTAAGTAGGTAGTTTCATGAATTTCAGTGACCAAAAAAAAAAAATCCATCCTCTTGTGATTAATCCACTGGTGTTTAGCTTTTCAATGCTGACCTTAGCTACTTCATGGGACAAGAACATGCACATACTCCCCAGAGTTGCAGTCAAGTGAAGTTGCCAAGTACTTATTAAATGATTACTGTTCCAGGCACTGTGCTAAGTGCTGGGGTTATAAAGGAAGGCAAAAAAGTTTCTGTTCCCAAGGATCTCCCATTCTAATAGGGGAGATAAGATGCAAACAGTTATTTGCATGCAAAATATGTACAGGGTAAATTGGAGGCAATCTCAGAGGGAAGGTATTGATAAGGGGTATGTTGGAGCTAAGGGAGAACACCTGGAAAGGCCTCTTGCAGAATGTGGGATTTGAGATGAGGCTTGAAGGAAGGTAGAAAGCAGATGCAAAAAGGGAGAGAGTTCCAAGCATGGGGAGCAGGCAGTGAAAAGTACACAGAGTTAAGAGATGGAGTGTGAGTAATACCAATGAGGCCAGAGTCATTGGACTATAAGAAAACTGGAAAGGTAGGGCCTGAAAAGCCAAATGGGATTTGATATTTGGTCTGAGAGGTAATACGGAATCCCTAGAGCTAATTAAGTAGGGTGAGTGACATGGTCAGACCTGGACCTTGGGAGCATCACTGAGGCAAGCTAAATGGAGGATGGAAGAAACAAGGAAGACACTCGAGCAAGGAGGCTAACCAGAAAGCTATTAGAATAGTTCCTACATAAAGTAAGGAATGGCTGTATCAGCTTGGTGGCAGCAGTGTCAGAGTAGAGAAGGGGATGCCTGTGAGAGACGTTGTGAAGGTAGAACTGATAGGGCTTGGCAACAGATTAGATAGGGAGGATGAGCAAGTGAGGAATCAGGGCATGGCTGGGAAGATAGTGGTGTTGTGATGGTAACAGGGAGGTGTGGGAGAAGAAGATTTGGGGAAGGGGGAGGCAGGGAGAATAGGAAGTTCAGTTTGGGGCATGTTGAGTTTCAGGTGTCTATGGAACATCCAGTACAAGACGTCCAAGGCCTAGTGAAACCTGCCAGTGCTCGCTAAGACCACCTCGACATTGAAATGAAGCACCTGTGGAGGATTATTTATGTCGCTTTATATGGAAGTTTTATTAGGATTTCAGACTTTTGGTTAAAAATAAACTATTCAAGTATTCTTTTCGTTCCCCATTTTTCCCCCATAACACTCCTGAGTGCAGTCCAAACTAGATTAAAACATAATTGAGAAATATGTAACAAAATGAATAAAAATATATTAAAACATAGATAATACTAATATGTGGTTTTCTAAGTCAACATGTGGCCCACAGGGATCCTTACGGATGCTTTGTTGCTGTTGTTCAGTTGTTTTCAGTTGTGACCCTATTTAGGGTTTTCTTGGCAAAGATATTGGAGTGCTTTGCCATTTCCTTTTCCAGCTCATTTTACAGTTGGGGAAAATGAGGCAAACAGGGTTAAGTGACTTGGCCCAGGGTCAGTAGGGAGTGTCTGAGGCCAGACTTGACCTCAGGAAGATGAGTCTTCCTGATTCCAAGTCTGGCACTCTATACACTGCACCTCCAAGCTGCCCAATATGTATAGTTCAGTGATGTCCATTTCTATTTGAGCTTGACATCACCACCTCACACATATTTAGTGATACATTCCTTCCAAATAATAGGTACTGCCATATTTGCCTCATTCCTGTTATCTGTAATCATTCTACTAGCCCTAGTCCCTCCTCAATTCTTATTATTACAGTGGAAAGGGATGAAAATCACACCATTTGCACTCTAGCCCTCTTCCTCCAACCAGAACTTGGACTCTGCCCCTTGGGACCCGGAGTGTTGATAAGTGAACTTTCACCTTAACTTGCCTGGAAGCAGGACACCATTCCGCTTGCAGCCATTTCCCAAGCAATACTGGAAATACCCTTGTTTTAAACCCAGACCTCTCCCCTTTTGAATTCTGGCTCCCAGTCATCTGTTGTCTTCCCCTCTTAAAATGTAAACTCCTTGACGCAGGACAAGGGGAGGGGTTGGGGGAGATGTTGCATTGCTTGCTTAAAACTTTATCCCCAGCCCCTAGCACTTAAAGCCTTGACATTCATTCCTTTATCTGGTGTCAGAAAACCTAGATTCAAATCCCAGATTAGCAATTTACTATTAGCTTTATGACCCCAGGTAAATCACTTATTCTCTCTGGGCTCCAATTTCCTTATATGTGATTTGAGGGAGTTAAACAATAGTCTCAACCCAATTCCTTTCAGCCCAAATTCTATGATATTAGGATTCCCTATTTAGCTCAGCCCTCACCAGGCCCAATCCATTGCTGTCTACCCTTCTACTGGCTTTTTTCACTGTGTGAATTCTCTTGTGAAAAATAAAAATATCTCTAAATTCTTAACCTTTTCTTGCCAAAAGGAGATGAATTTAATTTTATCTCCATCAACTTATGAAGACAATCAACTTAGACAATGGGGAGGAGAAACCTGGAGCAATAGAGAGAGGAGGAACCACACTGATGGAATCCTGGATTCTCAGAAGTCAATATTATGGTTTGAATTATTGAGATCTATGGATGTCTTTGATTTTAGTGTTGTGAGCAATCCAGTGCAGATCAGAGCCCCTCTTAAGTCTGGTCACCATGAGTAACTACAACTGAAAAAAATTACCTGCCAGGTAGCAATTTAGTAGTGAAATTAACTCAAAGTGATTTCTGTGTTTGCACATCATTGAACAATTTTTTTAACTGTGTGTATTACTTCTTAATGTTGATAGTTTCAGACTCACATATGTGGAACATGGAAAATGCCGCTACTAGCCATCAGTCGATTGTCACATATTAGATAGACTGCCTCAGCTTCCTTTAAGGCCCTTCTGCCAAGGTCAGTGACACTAAAGGCAGCTGATTGAAACAGAAATATTCAATCAATCAGCTGGTTGTGAGGTCTACCTAGTACCCTTCATCAATCTAACTTTTGCACACTGCACATAGTAAGCAGTTAATAAACATTTGTTGGATTAGAAACTGGAAAGGAATGGAATTTTGGCCATTATTGACCTCCTTTTGGGTTGTGTAGGGATAGTATGAATACCCTTTCCTGACCCCCTTTGCCTGATCCAACCCTATACTAGATTCTATGGTAAGGGATAACCATACTCTTCTTGGGAAGTCTTGCAAGTGGGGCAAGTGGTGATGGACTGCAAGGGCCAGGTAAAGAAGTGGACTCTAAAGTGACTAGATGTCAGGTATGATATTTTCTTTTGAAGGCTGGCAAATATCTGATCAGGTCAGGTTTTGAGATTATCCAATCAAGGTCTAAATTATTGACCAGTCTATCCTCATTAGGACACCCCCCCCCCAGTAGCCTTTAAATCACACCTTGTGTATCATCCTTTGCAAGTCATGAGAACTCATGCTAATTAGTTTCCTAAAAGGTATTCCTGCTTCCACTTCCCCCTCCACACCCTTTCAGCTCTGCAATTCTGGTCAAGTAACTTCTCTGCTTAAAAATTCTTAATGACTCTTTAAATCCTAGCAAATATAGTTCAGACTCCTTTGCCAGTAAGCCAAGGCCCTCTGAAATCTAGCACCACTCTGTCTTTCCAGTCTTATATCACGTTAACCTCCTAAACATGTCCCACAATCTCTGAACTCCAGGCTTTTGCTCAGATAATTCCTTCTACCTAGAATGACCCCCTTTCCCTTTTTTTGTGCGTTAAATTACTATCCTTTCATTTTAAACACAAATGCCATCTACTCTTCTTATTGATTCTCTATCCTACCTGTATCAACCTTCCTCCTTGGATTGAAATCCAAGCACTTTGTTTCACACCTCTCTAATAGTAATTAGGAGCAACACGGTATAATAGATTCAGGATTATCCTAGGAGCCCAAAAGAAATGGGCTGTGTGGCTAACATATGATAGCTATGTTACCATGGGCAAGTCACTGAATCTAGCTCTAAGCCCCTAACTATTCACTAAATTATAAAGTACAAAGGAGCTGCTGACCTGTATGGATGTAGGGAATTTCCATATCTAGAGCTCCTCACACTTGAATTTATAGCTCCATTCTCATTCCCACCTGTACCCTACACTCAAATTGCTCTCATGGAATATTACATATTTTGATTTTCCATCGGTTTCCTAACCCCCCCCCCCAAACTATAAGTTCCATGAGGATCAGGACTAAGCTTTGTATGTTGAATTAAACTGAGCAGAATGTAGGTAGTTGTGTTTACATGTATGTGTACACATACATAGTTGCTTATTCTTTTGCAAGTATATTTGTGCAAGTTTGTATGCTTAATGTAATTCTGTAGAAAAGGGATACTTCCATACTTCAATGGAATGGCAATGTCAAAGATATGACTATTCTTTCCAATATGTTCCATTCATATCTTCTTATCCTATATGGCTCTTTGCATTTGTCTGTCTCTTTCTTAAAGAGTATTTTGTGGTTGTATTCATATGCTTCTCGTGTGTGTAATGGTGAGTAGACTCCAATATATTTTATATAGTCT